GTCCTCCGTCGGTTACGGGCCGGGCCGGGCCCATTTGGCCATCTCTAATCCGGATAAAATAGTTTTGGGTTTTCTTTTTCGGATTAAACGGTTCAGTTAATCGAATAAAGATAACTTATTCAAGTCGATTTTCAGTTGATTTCTACTAATTCATCGAGGTGTATAATTTTTATATTTTATATTTCAAACAATAATATCAGTGTATGCTGCAAATGGACTAATTAATAATCAGAATATCAAGTTGGGGGCCCTTGCCTTGTTCTTGTTGGACGCACAATAAAATTTTTTACTAAACAAATCTTGTTATAGCTTTTCTTTATAAAAAAAATTTGTGGGTTTGTTGGGGGGCCTACCTAGGACCCCTACCACCATGCACTAGATCCGCCCCTGGTCATAACAGCGTTGAGATTTACGTCAAATACAAAATGTCCAAAATGCAACATAAAATTTCAAATAAGCAACATATATTTTTACGTGATTAAAGTGTCGTTTACCAAACGCTTACCCGGATAAACGCTTACCAATTAAGTCACTTTACTTTACCGGATGAATATATCAAAGACTAATAATCTTACCCGGTAAGAGCGAAGACAAGAATCTCGAGTCTTACCCCGTAAGTGAAGAAGAGGAATCTTACCATGGTTAGCGGTTACCCGGATAAACTGTTACATACGATGTGTTTTAGTGAATAAAATCTTGTACGATAAGTAAACGATAATATTAAATTTTACCAATAAATGTTTATCAGATAAGTGAACTGTAGTTTCAAAAGTTAGAATTATAATTTTCAATAAATCACATGGGTCATTTATGTAATTTATTGCTTACAAAATGATAAGCAAAGTGGAATTAAAGAGAAGTGGCAGAGGTTCATTCAATTCTTGCAACAAAAACAGAGCTACTGTCGCCATAACCAATGACGCACTCAACTTCACCCCCAGCATTTTGCTCCTAATTTTGTGCCACTTTAACGTGGTTTGTCCCTCTACACTTTAATACTTGTATATACATAAATTGCAGTGTTGTTTACCAAAAGCTTATTGGGTAAGTGTTTATCGGTAAAATTTAAAACTATTATTTATTTGTCGGGTAAAATTTTAGTCCAGCAAAATGACACCGTATGCAACAATTTACCCAATAAGTGTTTACCGTGGTAAGAGTCATAGCCCATACTTACCGGGTAAGACTCTTGGTCCTTGTCTCAGCTCTTACCGGGTAAGATTCTTGGTCCTTGTCTCAGCTCTTACCGGGTAAGATTCTTGGTCTTTACCATATTCATCCAGTGAGGTAATGTTACTTGGTAAGCGCTTACCCGGGTAAGCATTTGATAAACGGCCTCTAAATTCGATTTTAATAGACTTCTCGGTTTTTTGGTTGATTTCGATAGACTTTTCGGTTTTTTTGGTTGATTTCGAGAGATTTATTTGGTTTTTTTTGTTGATATTTCTTGTGTTTTCTAACATCACAGAGCACCACTCAAAGTTTAGTGAATTAATGTTTCATACCTAGAAAAAATTACTTGCGAAATCAGTTAAGTAGGTGCATGGGACCCCACTCGAGGACTGTCCATCCTGAAATCAGGTTTATAAAACATTAAAGGTGTATAAACCTTTTAATAGACGGTCTTATATAACCAAACTATAAAACATTTTATATAAAAGTGTTACAATAAGTTTATATGACGTTTTTATATGTTTTAACAAATTTGGACATTATTAAAATAAAATGTTATATTAGTTATTTTATAGAACACTTTCATCTCATGCGTATATTTTTATAGAACGCCTTTCAAGAGTATTCTATAAACATAGGTTTTTGTATCACACTTTTCATTTTATAAAATAACTAATATAAACCTTTATTTTTTTAAAATATCGTAAAAAACTTTTTAAGACACACAAAAACATTATACAAACTTATTGTAACACTTTTAAATAAGACGTTTTATTGTTGGTTTGTGCTGGAGATTATTTCTTACAAAAGTACTTATCAACTTATTATAAGTCATAAGGGTTTAACTTCTTCAAAAACTTCTTATTACCAGTTTAACATCGGTATAAGTTGTTTATCCAAACACTCAAAAGTGCTTACTAACGGTACCACACCGAAATAAGTCAATAATTTTTTTTTATAAGCAATTCCAAATACCTATAAGTTATTGTAGTGGTTATCTTGTATATATATATATTAAGGTTGTAATGGCAAGTTATCCTACGACAAACAAAAATGGGCTTGTTCATGTCTCTTGTTCTTCTCTCTATCCTCTTCTCTCAAGCTTATGCGACTACTCCATTTCTTGATGGTAAGCACCTCTCTTTGGGTTTTATTAGTTACGCTTTATTTACTTCTTAATAGTTACATTAATGGATGGTCTCTAAATCGTTAAGAGGTGAATCTTTTTTAACAAAAAAAGTCCGTCTCTTAATGGTTCTAAGACCCTCTAAATAATTTTGTGTCTTGGGCATCTCTGAACCATTCAGCCCCCTAATTTCATTCTGAACAATTACCAAATAACCATATTTCATTTTGCACTATATTTTAAGAGTCTCTTAATCATTCTGACCACTTAATCATCTTGTAGCAAATCATTCAGCAACTATTGCCAAACAAGCCCTTAATTTTTTTGTGGGTGGCTTAGTTTGGTTATTGATTGCAAAATGCATAGTAGTGGATAATAAATTTGGCATCCACGTAATCAAACGTTAGAAATCGACATGTTACAAATTACAAACTTCATGTTGTATTTTAATGCATTTCGCCGTTTTCGTCGTTTATTTAGGGTATCTTGCAAACGGGAACTTCGAAAAAGCACCAGAACCATCAAACCTCCAGAAAACGGTGATCGTAGGGAAGTATTCTTTACCCAAATGGGAGATTTCCGGCATTGTGGAGTACGTTTCCGGCGGGCCCCAGCCAGGCGGCTTCTATTTCGCGATCCCTCGTGGGGCCCATGCAGCAAGGCTCGGAAACGAAGCTTCTATATCGCAAGTTGTTAATGTGAAGGCCGGGTCGATTTATTCCCTCACATTTTCTGCGACAAGAACTTGTGCTCAAGACGAGGTGTTGCGGGTCTTGGCTTCTGGCAAGTCGGAAGACCTTCCGATTCAAACTTTGTATAGCAGCGATGGAGGAGACACTTACGCTTTCGCTTTCATGGCTACTTCTGATCGAGCGAAGGTCGTTTTTCATAACCCGGGTGTTCAAGAAGACCCTACCTGTGGACCTCTATTGGATGCCATTGCCATCAAAGAGATGCTTCCTCTACGTTACGTTGGAGGTAACATGTCTGTCTATATATACACTACAACAAAATCGGGTTTACAGGACACTCCCAATTTCTGAGCGTCCTAATAGACCTCTTTATAAGACTTAGTTTAGAGGACTTGAAAATTAAAGTGTCCTATCTAAACGCGTTGTAATAAGTTTATACGACGTTTTGTGATGTCGTAATAAGTTTTTTAGGACACTTTTAATATAAAGCGTCTCATTAGCAACTTTATATGACACTATTTGAAAAACTGCCCTATAAAAACAGATGTCCTATAAAAAATTGAGTTTATAGGACATTTTCTCAAAAGTGTGCTATAAAGTTGCTAATGCGACACTTTGTATTAAAAATGTCTTAAAAAAATTGTTAAGACGCCCAAAAGCGTCATATAAACTTATTACAACACCTTTAGATATGACACTTTATATTTTGATCCTATAAATTAAGTTCTATGAAGCGGTCTATTAGGACGCTTAGAAATTGGGGGTGTTCTATAAACCCAATTTTGTTGTAGTGCTATTACAACAAAATTGAGTTTATATGATGCCGAAAAAATTTAAGTGTGTTGATAAACTTATTCATATTTATAGGATTTAAGTTTATTAGACCAAACAATTGTGTGTCATATATAAATGTGTTACGGTACGTTTATAGGACCCCCATTTGGACGTCTTAACAGGTTTTGTAGTACACTTTAAAAAAATCGTTGTAATGAAATGATTTGAGTAAGTTTTGATGAACACAATGCAGGAAATTTGGTGAAAAATGGTGGGTTTGAGATTGGACCTCACGTGTTCAAGAACTTCTCAACCGGAGTCCTCCTCCTTCCCAAAATACACGACGTAGTTTCACCACTTCCCGGTTGGATCATCGAGTCGCTGAAACCAGTAAAATACATCGATTTGAAACACTTTCAAGTGCCGGAGGGCCAAGCTGCCATCGAGCTGGTTGGAGGGAGGGAAACTGCTATCGCACAAATCATTCGCACGGTGCCTAAGAAAGTGTACATACTATCATTCACGATTGGAGATGCGAAGAACGGGTGCCATGGATCAATGATGGTGGAGGCTTTTGCGGCATCGGAAACCCTAAAAGTAAACTACGAGTCTATAGGAAAAGGAGGTTTTAAAAGCGCAAGCTTTAAGTTTGAAGCGATTTCGACTAGAACAAGACTCACATTCTTCAGTGCTTTTTATCATACGAAGCTCAACGATTATGGTCACTTTTGCGGCCCTATCTTGGATGATGTCAAGGTTTTCGCAGTTTCTCACTGAGAAGGATGAATTCAAAGGATGCTTCTTCTCGAGTTAGATTAATTTAAACTGAATAGCAGATATAAGCGGTAGAAAATGCACGATAACGCTTTAGATTGGTTAAATTCGGGTTGAATAAAACATATGTTGTTTCTCTTAATCAATATGTTTGGATCCATTCCTTGTAAGCGCTTACCATTAGTAGTTAACACCATAATTTATTTTACCGAGTTAGATTGTAGTATATCAAAATGGTATCGTATGCAACAATTTACCCGGTAAGCACTTACCCGGGTAAGAGTTGTTACCCTCACTTACCGAGCAAGACTTTTCATCTTTATCATTGTTCTTACCGGGTAAGATTTTTGAACCTTGTCATGTTCATCCGGTAAGGAAAGTTACTGGTAAACGTTTAGTAAACGGCCCCTTACTCGATAAGCGTTTGATAAACCATCTCTACACCTTTCGTTACTCTTAGGATCAATACAGTAAGAGATTATAAAAAAATGACCTTTTCTTAAAAAAAAAAGTTGGGTCCATAGCAATTATTATGTAACCGGTTACATTGGACTCGGCCTGTAGGTTTTATATGCTCACGTCATAATATATATATATATATATATATAGTGCTACTGTTTGGGTAAAAATTCTATAACAGCGACATACCAGAATATTATCCACAAATACGATTATCGTCGACGGTGATATCCTCGTCATACAATCGTCTATGATCACGACATTCGTTAATATTTACACTACAGGAAGAAGGAGCTTTAAAGAAGAAATATTCTGAGAAGCTTTTAGAAGTGTATCTAAAACTACATTATATAGAAGAATTTAAATGACAAAAATGAGAATCGTAACTAAAGGTTGGATGACATTTAAAGAAGGATTTATAGACTAATTATACAGTGTAAGAAATGTCGTTAACAGTTTTAGAGAAGTTTTTTTTTATAAAAAATGTCTCTAAAAAGTTGCATCAATTTTTAGGAACATTTTTTTGAGCTTATCTAAAGATTAAGAAAAAGTTTAAAATTTTTAAAATTAAATAAAAGTATTTACTTACCCATTTCTATTAAAAAACAAATCAGAATTAAATAAAAAAATATATGATCTAAAAGATTTATATTAAAAAATAAATCAAAATTAAATAAAAAATATATGAATACCTTCTCTTCTCATCGCTCGTCTATTGTCGAATAACATCGTCCAATCTCGTTGATCTCATCACCATCGCTCGAGTCTATCGTCGAATCTTGTTGAGCATCGCTATTGCTTGAATTTGTCTCTCTCTGCATCGATTGCTCGAACAACAGGTACACAATCTCGTTGATTTCCATTTAGCGATTCTTCAAAAAATATCGATTGCTCGAACAAGTACTTGAAATCCCTATTTGTTTCAACAGATTCATTATTACCAGAATGCCTATTTGTTTAGTTCAATGTACATATTTCAAATCTAATTTTTTTCAACAGATTCATCATTTTCTGTACATATTTCACATAGTGAAGAAATAGGAAATGAAGGTGGAGAGATTGATCTGTATTTGGGTGTACCTCGGGTGACCAGAGGTTCAACAATGGTGGTGCCCAGTGGTGGTGAGTCTGATGGATGGTGAAGATGAAAATATGCGACTAAGGGGCCGTTTACCTAAACACTTACCCGGTAAACATTTATCGGTAAAAATTCAACACTATCTATTTACCGGGTAAGATTTTATTCACTAAAACACATTGTATGCAACAATTTATCCTGATATTTATAATAAAATTTAAGAAATAACTTCTACTATATTTTCTTAAATTTTTATGGGCAAATTTTGCATGAAAAAGTAAACTTACTTTAACATGATTCATATTTTTGTAACGTACTTTCAAAACTTTCATTTTGTTACCTAAGATATAAAGTTCTAGACATTTAAGTACCGGGGTAACCGGTTTTAGCATTATCCGGTTACCATACTGATGTTACAAGTGATCTGGTATCCAACTAAGTATTATTTGCTGACATGAATATCTCAATCTAAAATTAATTTTTATGTATTGTGGTTTATTGGAAGAAAGAGATAATGCTTCAACCAGTTATCCCAGTACTTAAATATTTAATACATTACATCTTAGGTACCAAAATAAAAGTTTTAAAAGTATATTATTCAAAATAGGAATCAAATTAAAGTTAATTATTTTTTCATGTAATTTGTCCAATTTTCATAGATGAATGGCTAGATGGAAAAAATAAATATGGAGCGAGGGCCTTTTTGCAAAATTTAGTTCTTCGACTGAATAAATTACACCCGCCGCAAGGATCTTCATCTTCGCTATTCGTTTTGGTTGCGGATTAGGGCTCAATTTTAGTTCTTTTGCATTACACAGAGGTAATCTGAATGATTTTCTTGATAATTTATTTCTGTGTAAATTTGTATTTCGGATAGATTGCTTGCAATTAGTTCATGAAATTGTGATGATATGTTCTATTTAATCTAAAGTTTTGTGTTTTAAAGGAGAAATCTAGATATGGGATCCATCGATTTGCTAACAGAAGGTCCGTGAGATTAGTATTAAGCTGCACAAGCTCCTATATCCCTCAAAATCAAAAGTAAAATTAGGTCGTTTTTGTACTTTATGAACTAGTGCTGCGACTGTTCTTTGAATTATGTCGCACTCCATCCTTTCCAAAAGAAGTAGACTTTGTTTTTTGATATGACACTTGGCACAATTTATATAATTTTGTTAGCTAGGTAGTACCAATATTTTCTGTTTGTATATTTTATCTAGAGTTTGATATTACTTAGTTTTCTGTCAAAAAGGTTATAACTGGGATGACATTGATAATGGAAATGTAACTTGTAGTTTTTGGGATTAGAGGGAGTTTCATTCATTGAGAATTAGGAATTTTGTGGGAGACATTTCATGTTGAGATGTTAGGGGCTGAACTTGTTTTGCCTTGTAGTGGCCTAGTGGGATATGTACGCTTTCAAATCGGGTTATATGTTTTGTTGTTAACGCAATAGGCTGAAAATGGAGTTTGCCTTTTTTCTCCATTGACTCTTTCGTTCACAGGGAGTTATATTCTTTTGTCATCTTGTTCTTCAATATATAGACCGATCTCTAACTGTGTGCTTCAACTTCAAAGATGACCACAGAGGTAATGATAAATGTAGAACTCCATTACCAGGTAGAGCAAACTGTGGTATTTGCTGAATCTTCAGCAAGAATCTAAAGAGAGACCAAAGTTGAGATGTTAGAAGTGTTTACTGTTGTACATTGGTAATTTCATGTGGTAGATATTCATAGTCTACAAAAGAAGGATCCAGCTGGCATTACGTCTGGCAACTTGCAATGTTCAAGTGTGATGGTGGTGAGAAGTTTGTTATCTTTACAAGGCATTCTTGATATTGATAACTTGTCTTTGGGTGTTGGATGGTATGGTCTAAGCCTCACATTGCTTGTCAAATTTGGTTATCCTAATCTTACTAAGTTACTACATGTTCATATTTGTCATTATGCTATAAGTTTGTGGGTACTTAACAAAAACCAGTTCCTTTATCTCCTGTAAGTTGTTTTTTGCTTTACCATTTTGATACAGTAAATGGTTTTTTAACAATAATGTATACTCCATTTGTAATAGGAAGAAGTCATTTATGTGTAAACACAATGGTATCCAATCAAATAAGATAATCATCAACACAAAGGTTTGGTAACCCTGTAAAAAATTGGAGATTTCACAAGGTCAGTTTGGAATGGATGAAATCTTTGAGAAGCTTGATGTACAAGTTAGGATGTTCACAGTTAAAGCAATACCTCTAGGTGCATGGCATTCAAGTAAAACCTGTCTATCATAAGTTAGATAAGGATGCTTTATCTACAGATAGCTGAAGAATCCTGCAGAAGACATGTTTGTAACTATTGATAAACACCTATGCTACAAAATATGTAATATAGAGAAATTGGGGTATTTAGGCATTCAACTTCGGCAGCAAGCTTTTTAAGAGTTTTTGTATTCACTATTCAGTAATTCTAAGTGCTCCGACAATAGGGTAGAAGTCTTCTCCCTGTTTATGAGCAGACTATTACCCATCTTTCCGGAAAATGATCCCTTCTTGTCTTATACATTCAACCCTTCTGCTTTTCAAATTTAAGATTGAAATGGGTGTTTTTAGCTTTCAAGTGTTTAAGTGTTTTATCATTGCAAACAGATTTATGGTTAATAAGATGATCATTTTTAATCTCAAAGCCGAATTTTTAAATATATAAAATTTAAAACATTAATCATTTAATGCCAAAAAAGTCAAATATGAACTCTTCTCTTTTTCTGAATGGAGTATGGCAACTATAGAATTATTATGCATTGAGTAGGATGTTGCCACACAAGGATGATCAGGATTAGAAACGAGGATACAAAGTAAGATTGTAGTGGATGTTGGGAAAATTAGTGCACATTACTTGTGATGATGGTATTGGCCAACATAATCTCCTGGATGCATTGAGCAGGGTGACTTCTACTAAGAGGGGGTTTCTAGATGTGGGTGTAAAAGAAAACAATCTTGAGCGGAATTGGTCTGTTTGGAGACCATGGAAGATTCCCATCTCTTTCACTCAATAGTATTTTTAAAGAATATCATGTGATATTGGTTAGGAGAGAACTAGCTAGGGATGGAGACTGATTGCAGATGTAAGCATTTGATTTTTGTATTGTTGAAAATAGGTTTTCCCTATAACTTGAATCCATGAAAATCTAGTCACATGAGGAATGTTACTTGTTCTCCAAGGCTTGCCTCAGTTTGTTTATCATTTTGCTTCTTGTTTCCCTCATCCCATATGCAAAGCACCCAGACTGCAAGGATGTGCATATACGACTCTAAAAATAACAATAAAAGAAAAAAAAATCTCTCATAGTTTATATATTAAATAAATAAATAATAAGCAGTTTAGCACATACTTAATCTATGTCATATCGTGCACTTACTTTAGTTAGTCCAAGCTGTTAAGGTAAAATAATTTGTTGTTTTGTAGTTGTATATTGCTCATAAGATTTGAGTTTCATTTTAGAATTTTAGCCTTGTTTCTCATTGTTTTAAGAGAAAAATGTGTCCAAAATTGCACCTCTCATATCCCCAATTTTTATCCCCTTGTGTTCATGGTCAAGAGTTCCAATACAGGTATCTGGCATGGGATGGAAGCACCCCTTTTTTTTCTAGAAAAGCACCTTCTACACCTCCAGGATCTGGACAATAAAAAATGAGCCCCAGAGTTTGGATTATGGCTGTTTGTATTGGTATTCTAGGGTTGGGGTGGATATGGTCCTCGTGGATGCAGATCAGAGTTTGTGTGCAAATTTATTTGGCATGTGATAGTTGGGAAAGAGTACCATACACCATGTGAACATTTTTACTTCCCTAATCAGGCTCCCTTAGAATTATTTCGCTTGTTGTGATTAGATTTGAGTGTATTAGAGTTGTCCTTATGACACTCGTCTCTTTTGCTATGGAAAATCCAATTTGCGGACATAGTTACTTTTTCTTCTTAGCAATCAATAGAAAAACACTCGCTTAATCCTTAGTATTCTACTTTTACCCTCTCCTTTGAGTGCTTTTACGTTTGAAGCACAAGTGTGTCATTTTGTTTTATATCCATGAAACTGTGTGTTTAGAAACTTGTGTATTATTAGCTGTTACTTGTTAGGTTTATAAAAACATGTACGTGGATTACAAATTCTCTTTGCAAGTTTGTAACCTCATTCATTAGTGGCTATAGGATAACATCTGAAATTGCAATATGATTTTTATCCCTCAAGCAGTCCACTTTAACTTAGTTTCAGTTTATGGTGATAGCCATCCTCTCCTTTCCTGTCCAACATTCTACTTCCACCTGTTTTACTTGTGGAATATAATATCAATGCACTTGTAGAAGTGGTTGGAGGGATGACCTGGCATTCAGTTCACTTTAAGTCTTTAACACAGTTTCAGTTATAATGCTCGATGCTCTTACGCTTCTCAGGGTCAATTTAGTGATAGGAACAGGGTAAGTTTATTGGATGAAATAACTAGTAAGATAAACAAAGTCATTAACCAACTTATGAGAGGTTTGCTGTCTCTCCCAAAAACCATAGAAACTAATGATTATCTTACCAAACAATATGTTTGTCTCTAATGATTTGGTCAATCCTTTATGTATAGGGATTAAACCCTTTCTTATTATTATATTCTAATTAATAAACCGGGCCAAGGTCCACATATGAGTCCTAACATTACTCCCCACCAAAAATAGACCTTGTCCTCAAGGTGACTGCTCAAAGCTGTTGTCCCAACCACTCACAATCAATTTTGGGTCCCAATTTAGCATGCCTAGAGAGGGCTCCATATCTTCGTCTCAAATTAGGTTCAAATTGGGGAGCAAGTATGTCCAAACTAGGGCTTTCCTACAACCTTGTATCTTTGTTTCGTTCCAATACCATCCCTCATCAAATAAGTGGCTACCTGTTCTTGGCCTTCTCTCGTCATTTGGCAGTTGATTTTGAGCTCCGCTTGCTCTCTTGCAGCCGGTTGTTATTCCACATGGTGATCCACCTCCTTGTTTTCCGTTCATGGTGGCCCCTAGCCTTCGTCTCCAAGTCATATCCCCTGCCTTCTGGCATTTCATTACCGTAATCACACTGCTTTTCCTTCCAGATTTTCTCCTGTTGATCTCGTCAATGGCTTTATCCATTATCTCTTTTCTTGTCATGTAGAAGAGAATGTGCCCCTCCATTGTTGGCACACCTTCTCCTGATGGTATTACCGTATTGCCCCAATGTTGTATTTTTGTGCTTTGACAAATTTTTGCACTAGTTCCTCCATCAAGGCAGACTTCTCGTCTATTCAAATGAAACAATTCAACATGGTCGTTTTCACTTCCATGATCTTAGTCCTCAACGTAACTTCGTGGTCATTTACCTTTTTTACTGCCTCTGGTCTCAAAGATAGCTTTGATACCAATTTGATATGACCTGAGAACGTTTATTGAACAAATATAACTTGCAAGTTATAACGAAACAAAGTGATTGACCAACTTTTTGGAGGTCTGCAGTTTCTTCCAAAAATCCAAGAAACTAATTATCTTAGCAAACAATTTTTCTTCTTCCTATGACATGGTTAATCCTCACTGTACAAACCAAACCAAACCAATTCAGTGAATCCCATACGGATGTTAATCCCTTACATATAGGGAACAAACCCTTTCCTTGTTATTAAACGTTAATTGTTAAATTCAGCAGAAAACATGCATGCACCCAACCATTTTTTCCTATGGGAAAATAAAAATAAATTAATACGAGAAAAAAGAAATTTAGGTCCAAGTTTGACATATCCACCTCAGTGCATCTTAACTTGTATCTTTATTAATTATATGTGTCACGACTTATATTTAAGTATTTAACAAGTAGTTAATCCCTCAGAGAGTGTTTTAAGCAGCATCCTGTCTAGTTACCTTATATTACTTTACCACATGAGCAGCGATTGACTGTTGCACTGTATGTTAAATGTTAATAGTTTAATACATAATATAATTGTTTTTGGATTGTGTAAACATATGTAAGCCAGAGATTTTGATTTGCAAAATACCTTTTTTAGATTAGGGCAATAATCACAAAATTAGCCAATTTGCATAGAGGGTAAATAACTATGACAATTGTTCTAAATTGGGCTACAGCAGACGGAAGTTGATCTCAGTTTAGAAAAATTACTTCAAGTTGGATGCCATTAACATTTTCATGGATAATAAGTACCAGGGGCCTTGTTTGATTCATCTCAGCCTAGCTTGATTAATCATCCTTATTTATTTTAAAATTTACAGTTCAATGATTAGTTGTTAGTGGAAGCCGTGTGCGTGCGTGTGTGTGTGTTTTTTTTCTTTGGGGGGGGGGGTGCTTATCACCTGAGCTCCGAACAACCAACTCTAAGTGGGGATTTTCACAACGGTAAGATGATCCGAGCAGAACAATCCACACTGGAACTTTGGATCTGTTATGGTCAAACTCAAATAAACAAAAGGGCAAATTGCATGAAAATGCAACATACTTTGGTATGATTCCTATTTTGTATAACATTCATTCAAAACCTTTATTTTGGTATCTATGATGTCATATCTCAAACATTAAGATCAAAGTACGTTACACAGAACAGGAATTGGACCCAAGTACGCTGCATTTTCATGCATTTTTAGATGTAAACCAACTACCTAAACGTTTGACATGTCGCAATTGAGGTACCAAAATGATGGTTGTTAAAGTAAGTTACAAAATGTAGGAATCGGACCAAAGTAAGTTGCATTTTCATGCAATTTGCTCTAAACACAAAGTATTATGCATTATTGTATGTGTTGCAGTTGGATTATGAAGCTGTCTGCTAAACTTACCAGTTGTTCCCTTTGATGCTTCAGCTTGAAGAAATGACTGGAGCAAAGATTCTTGGTGCTGTTGCAGGAGCGATTGCGGTTGGATTTGCCTGTGACCATATTTTTGCCGACAAAAAGATTTTTGGAGGTATAGATACAACACAGACACATGCGCTCACAATATTAATCTGAACATATATACTTGAACTATGTAAAATGTATGTACGGAAAAACTTCCACACCCCTCACTTTTGGTAAGGCTTGAACCCTTGACCTGGATCTACTGCTTTGGCCCATGGCCAATGACCCTTAGGTAATTTGAACATATTTCCAACAGGCATCGTTTTTTTTATTAGCCTGGATCCAACCCGCTATGCGAGCCCACTAATCCCAGGGCGACCACCTGCTTTGCAGATAGCCCCGAGTCACCGCATTTGAACCTTCGTGGCCACAAGGGGATTTTTATTTCTTCTTGGATTTGAACCTGAGACCTCCTGATACTTTTGACCTTTGGAGCCAAGCTCAAACCAATTAGGCACCACCCTTGTGGTTATGTATTACAAGCATCGTTTTTTATGTATTACATTGTTTGAACAGGTACTACTCCATCTACGGTTTCAAACAAGGAATGGTGGGAAGAGACCGACAAGAAGTTCCAGGCATGGCCGCGTACTGCTGGACCACCCGTGGTCATGAACCCCATCAGTCGTCAAAATTTCATAGTCAAGTCCCGTGCTGATTCCTGAACATATCAAGTCCTGTGATTGAACTACAACCGTCAGATGTTGATCAATGTTAATTCAAATATTTTCTTTGTTTCTACCCATGAGTAAACACAGTATTATGGGAGTAATTTTGTGCTGCAACTTCAAGTCAAAACTTGGGAATGATTAGAGGTGCAACTTTTAGTACTTTACCAGACTTTTTATGAATAAAAATTTCAGTTAATTGTTGAATTCTTTCTGGTGAAAATTTTGAAAGTGTATTTGCATATACATTGTTATAGAACAATGAGTGAGAGGTGTAGATTTGTCTCTAGGCATCATACAGAATTATGGGAGTAATTGGAGATAATTTTGGGGAAATGGTTGAAGCAAAATATTGGCTCAAAAGCTCCATTTTCTTCCATTTTACAGAAGTTGTTGAAGATGCTCTAAAAAGACCTTTTCTCTCAAGTAAACATGGGCATGGAATGGTTTTTTTTAAGCAAACTACAACCATGGCCGATCTTGAGGTTTTTGAAATTCCTATAAAAACACTCAGAAAGTGTCCCGATTAAAATACCATCAAATTTTTGGTGATTTGTGATAATGTCGAGTATGACATTACATCATTTCTTGCATCAAAACGGTATACATTTTGATGTAAGTTAAAGTATAATTTTTATACGTAACTTATATATATTTTCAATAATACCCTTTTGTTTATTAAATTAATATTTTAAATTCCAGCCATTTTTTTTTCTTATAATGGTTTTATAAATGAAATATTATACAATTCTAGTAATAAATATCAAGCTAAGACGTCAGTTTACCAAACACTTACCTGAGTAAGGGGCTGTTTACCTAAATACTTATCCGGTAAGCTCTTATTGTTACGAGTTAACATTGTAATTTATTTTACCGTGTAAGATTGTAGTACATCAAAATGATATCGTATGCAACAATTTATCCGATAAACGTTTACCTGGGTAAGAGTCATCACATTCACTTACCAAGTAAAACTTTTCATCTTTATCATTGCTCTTATCGGTTAAGATTTCTGACTTTTGCCATGTTCATCCGATAAAGAAACTTATCGGATAAACGTTTAGTAAACGACCCCTAAAAGTCACTGTATATATGTTCACGTAAACGATTTCATTTCAAATCTTTTCGTTGTGTGTTTTTTTTTTTTTTGTTAAGAGTTGCAACATATAGCAACCTCTTTATGTGATATCGTCAACTATTGCAGATAACAGATGCAATATGGTCAACTATCGCAGATAACTGATGCGATATACTTAACTATCGCAGGCTTCTATGCGACATAAATTAGTACTCAACTTTGTGATAAACTCAGATCTTCAAAAAAACAGTTTAGAAACTCATCCAAATTTGATACAACTCAACACGGAGCCTCAAAATATATGTAGCAACACAATTAATGAAGATCTTTGTACCAAAAACGGATTACAATAGGCTGATTTTGTAAAATCAACCCAAAACTGTCAAGAACTCTGTTCAAATAGAAAAATATTCAAAGAATCAAGATTATGACCAAAATCTATCAAATTGAGGATGAAATTGATTCAGATTCTTTCCATTACTAAAACTGAACCAATTGAAACAAGAGATGATCACTAATTCCTCAAAGTCAATGAGATTGATCAAGAAACAGTCCATCCTCAAAGCAGAGTTCAAAACTTTCAAAAATATTTCAAAATTCGACCAAATTAAATTAAATTAAATCAGACTTTCCTTTTGCTTTGATACCAATTGTTAAACCCATAATCAAATTCTATTAACAAAAGCTTCATGAAATCATCAATGGAAAAATCTCCTTTGTATTGATACTGAGAGAGGAAGGATTACAAGATATGGTTTACAATATGAAAACTTAGGTATCTAAACAAACTAACACAATGTATTTATATTCCAAGGGTATTTACAATATAAGCCCCTATAATTTGATTATAAATACAATTTAAATCTAATGTTTTGTGAAAGTCAACTGTTCATATGCAAAAGCCTACATATCTGAAGACAAAGGACAAACTCTCCAATAGAAGTTTTCCACGTGGCTTGTACCATCTAACTTGAACTAAATGCAATGAGTATAAATAGTAGAGAAGACTCATCGTTTCAACAATGCCTTATGCTTCCTCAAAACTCTCTTCTTTCTTATTATTATCTTTCTTTGTGCATCTTCTATGTGATTCTTAGGTGGCGTTTGTTTTTTAAGAGGCGTTGAAGTCTGAAGTCTGAATTCACTTCTGATTTTTAAGAGGTTGTGCTGAAGTCTGAAATCTGAATCAGTCAGACTGTTTGTTTTTTGTGTCTGAAATATGAAGTTTGAAGATGAGAGATCGAGAGTTGATATGGATCGACAGTTGACAAAGTTGAGAGATGAGAGATCGAGACAGAAGAGTTGATCTAGAGAAATCGAGCGCAAAGAGATTAGAGTAGGTAGGCGACAATTTGAAATAAGAGGTAATAAGAGGTTTCACAACCACTTAAATTTTCAGACCTAATAAGAGCTTTTAAGCTCTTAATTGGAAAAAAAACAAACGTACTGAATCCTCTTATGTCTGACCAATTCAAACTTAAGACGACATTAAGAGCTTTTTTATTAAAAACAAACAGCCCCTTAGATTGTTTAGATTAGGTTTTAACCTTATCTAAAGACCAAATACAACTATTGCATGTACCTTTCTTGGTGGGAGAGAAAGAGTATAGCAATCTGGCCCGCAAGGTCTATAGAAACGCCTGAAATGGAAGGGAAGGCCCTACTAACCATGGTTGATTCTCAATGTAAATTTAATTCAAACATAAAAATATTACTGTGTTCCCAAAAACACATAAAATTGTATTATAACATCGACAAAAACAGAATAAAATAAAATATTAAGATATCGTCTCCCTGGATTATGCAAATAATGTTCTAATCACTTGTTAAGTAGTTTTCCCTTAAAAGTTGAACTCATCTTCTCCTTCACAATAATAGCTTCTAGTAGGTTTCTTAGGTGGTAGTCAACTTTTAGATGTCGTTTCTCAAACACTTACCCGGTAAATACTTACCGGTAAAATTTAACATTAATATTTACTTACAGGGTAAGATTTTAGTCCACCAAAACGACATCGCATGCAATAATTTACCCGGTAAGCGCTTATCATGGTAATAATCGTCGCCCTCACTTACCGGTAAATACTACGCCGGAAAAGGTTTAATTTTTAAAAAAAATAAAAATAAAAATGAATTTTCTAAAAGGATTTCCGGCGGACTATTAAAAAAAAATAAAAAAAAAAAATACTTCCGTCGGAAATCTGCCGGAAATGTTTTTAGAAAATTCATTTTTTTTCAAAGATCAATTAATTTTATAAGGTTAATTAAGAATTCCGCCGGAAATCCGCCGGAAATGCCCAGTTTTCCAGTAGTGCTATAAACCCAATTTTGTTGTAGTGGGATAAGACTCTTGGTCCTTGTCTCGTACTTACCGGATAAGTTCTTGACCCCTACCATATTCATCAGGTAAAGTAATATGACTTAATAAGCACTTAACCAGACAAACACATCTTGTCAAATTCAATTCAACAACTAGGAAATGGAATAGTTTTAATACAAAAGATGCAAATAACACAAATTCAAGAGGAAATATATTATTTTCAAATAGTTATGAAACTCAAGCCTAGAGACATGCAATCCATGCACAATCTACTAAATTTGTAGTATATGTTTTGTTACAATCTTGATTATTTCAAGGACCAAATATACCTCGTACCCTAGTAATACCAAACCTTAACATCATCTAACACGGGCCCGCAGAAATGACCGTAGTCGTGAAGCTTCGTGTGATAAAACGCGCTGTAAAACGTGAGTCGTGTCCTGGTCGAAATCGCTTTAAATTTAAGAGTTCCGGTTTTAAAGTCACCCTTTCCTTGAGAATTGAGTCTCAACTTTAGGGTTTCTCTAGCGGCAAAGGCCTCAACCATCATCGACCCGTGGCAACCGTTCTTAGCGTCTCCTATAACGAATGTTAGCTTGTAGAACTTGTTGGGAACGGTTCGTATAATTTGTGCGATGGCTGTTTCTCGGCCTCCAACCAACTCAATGGCAGATAGCCCCGAGGGTACTGAGAAGTGCTTTGAGTCGACGTATTTAACTGGTTTGAGCGATTCCACGATCCAGCCGGGGAGTGGGGATACTATGTCGTGTATTTTAGGGAGGAGGAGGACTCCTGTCGAGTAGTTCTTGAAGACGTATGGGCCGATCTCGAAGTTACCATTTTTCACAAAATTTCCTATATACACCAATATATCGATTGTTACGTACAAATCATTTTTTTATTAACCTAGATATCAAACCCGCTATGCGAGCCGACTAATCCCAGGTCGACCACTTGCTTTGTAGGTAGCCAAGAGTCACCGTATTTGAACCTCCGTGGCCCAAGGGGATTTTTGTTCTTTCTTGAATTTGAACCTGAGACCTCCAGACACTTTTGACCTTTGAAGCTAAGCTCAAACCAATCAAGAGTGTTTCAAATCATTTATGTTTCACTAGAAAATGAAACTACACATCACATATTTGTTCATAAAAGTGTTACAAGAAAATTAATAATTGTTAGATTAAAGAAAAGCAAAGAAAAATAAAACAAATTGCACACATTTTAGTTTACTTGTTTTCCACACTACAACAAAATTGAGTTTATAGGACATCCTCAATTTCTAAGCGTCCCAATAAACCGCTTTATAGGACCAAAATATAAAGCGTCCTATCTAATCTAAAGGTGTTGTAATAAGTTTATATGACGCTTTTAGGCGTCTTAACAAGTTTTTTAGGACCTTGTTAATATAAAGTGTCGCATTTACAGCTTTATAGGACACTTTTGAGAAAGTGTCCTATAAACTCATTTTTTTATAGAACACTTGTTTTTATAGGACTTTTTTTTCAAATAGTGTCTTATAAAGATGCTAATGGGACGCTTTATATTAAAAGTGTCCTAAAAAAAACTTTTTACGACATCAAAAAATGTCATATAAACTTATTACAACATCTTTAGATAAGACACTTTATTTTCTTAGTCCTATAAATTAAGTTCTATAAAGAGGTCTATTAGGACGGTTAAAAATTGGGAGTGACCTATAAACCCAATTTTGTTGTAGTGTCACGTGATCAATCCCCAGTGGCGGTCCCAGGAAATTAATGGGGTGGGGGCATGTTGGATGGGACTTGGGGGAGGCAAGCATATGGCCATAAGGGACTGTAGTCAACATCTGAATCAATAAGAGGTGAATCTTGTTTGGCAAAAAAAGTCTGCCTCTTAACGGTTTTAAAACCCTCCGAATGATTTTGTATCATAGGCCTCCCTTAACCATTAAGCGCCCTAATTTCATCGTAAACAATTACCAAACAATTATATTTCATTTTGCACTATATCATAAGAGTCTCTTAATCATTCTGCATCAAACCATTCAGCAACTGCCAAAAAATCTAGTCAACAAATGTTTTTGATCTTTGACGGACATGATCCACCCATGCAGGTGACATAATATGTTTACATTTGATAATAATGATTCAAGAACTTTAATTATTGGTCGAAGCATTTATTAATTTATGCATTAAAAATTATTGGGTGTACGAATCTGTATATTTATTGAGGTCTTAATTACGTACAGATCTTGAAAGTAATTTAAAAATTAAAAAAAAAATCAAATTGATATAAAAATATGTGGCATGTGGGTTATAATATTTACAACGATGGACCAAAAATCATCTAATAAAATAGCTAAAAGAACACTTTATTTTAAAATGTTCTAAAAACTTGTTAAAACGTTCTATAAACCAATTGTAACTCTTTTATATATAACGTTTTATAATTTGATATTATAAATATAAGTTCTATAAAGTATTCTATTAGGTAGAGAAAAGATATAATACCTGCAGAATATCTCAATGGAGCCATCTTTTTGATTGCGATGGCATCCAAGAGGGGCCCACAAGTGGGGTCCTCTTGGATACCAGGATTATGAAACGTGATCTTGGTTATGTTTCGAGTTGCCTTAAAAGCGTATGCGTAAGTGTCTCCTCCATCTGTACTGTACAACGTTTGGATCGGAAGCTCACCCGAGTTGCCGCCAGCAAATACGATGAGCTTCTCGTCTTGAGCACAAGTTCTCGTAGCCGAAAACGTGAGAGAGTAGGTTGAACCGACCTCGAGGTTAACATACTGTGCTATGGACGCTTCATTCCCAAGCCTTGCGGCATGAGTCCCACGAGGAACCGCAAAGTAGAACCCACCTGGTTGCGGACCACCCGAGATGAACTCAACTATGCCCTTGATTTCCCATTTGGGCAACGAATATTTCCCGATGATCACGGTCCTCTTGATGTTCGACGGTTTTGGACCAAGC